CTGGCTGGGTATCGGTCGGCGGGTGGTGAGCAATTGCATTGGGCATCACTTGCTTTGTGTATTGTTATTATCATTACTATATTGTTATTATTATCATTACTACTTTACTTTATTTCAATTATTAAACTGTTCTTGTCTCAACCCAGGAGTGTTTCTCACTCTCACTCCTCCGATTCTCTCCCCCATCCCATCGGAGCAGGGGGAGCGAGCGAGCGGCTGCGTGGTGCTGAGCTGCTGGGGTTAAACCACGACAGAGAGTTTCTGTATTTACTTTGTTTGCAAACTGGATGTTATTGCTGAGATGGTCTGGGTTAATTTCAGCCTCCCACCCTGCATGTCCACCACCACAGGTAGTGTGAATATGCAGACAGAACCGAAGATTAAAGTGAGGGCCAGGCAGACAAGCACCTCAGAAACAAACCCAAGCACATCATTTCATTTGGTTTAAGTATCAAGTTCCTGAAAGTTTCAAGGAAATTGGCTGAAAAGAGATGGATGTCTTCTCAGCTCCCACTTTGAGGAAAAGGCACCAAAGTCAACTCCACCTACGTATCGGGCATCAGAAAGCAGCCGTCTCCTCCAGGCTGCGGCCGGCTGGATTAAGCAGGAGACACGTGACGGAAGGAAGCCTGTCCTACGCAGGATGAAGCCAGGGATTAGGGAGATTGAACTTGGCTTCTCCTTGGTGCTGGGTATTTGGAAGATGAGCTGTCAGGTTTCGCTTCTCTTGCCAAACCAGTGACATTGAAAGCGGCGAGGCCAGATGGGGGATTCTGCTTCTCCATCAGCCTCAGAGGGAGCACGGCCAGCCCCCCGCAAGGCCAACCCGGGGGGGGGCTAATTGTTACTACTACTATTTTACTTTATTTTATTTCAATTATTAACCTGTTCTTATCTCACCCCAGGAGTGTTTCTCACTCTCACTCCTCCGATTCTCTCCCCCATTCCACCGGGGCAGGGGCAGTGAGCGAGCGGCTGCGTGGTGCTGAGCTGCTGGCTGGGGCTGAACCAGAACAGGGCCTTATGTTGGCACCTCCCGTGAGGAAACCACCCTCCGAAGCTAATTTTGCCATTGCAAAAAAAAAAAAGAAAAGAAATCCTCAAAAAAGCACATTCAGCTCTTTAAGAAATGTAAGTCTTCCTGTAAAGCATTTCAGGCGAATTTATTTAATGCAACTAATTAAATATCTCGGGCAACATCTAACCCTCCTCCTTAGCAGGTCCTTTACTATAGTGCCACAATTTTCCTCACAATAATTATATACGATATCTGACTTCTAATTAACACTGGAGCTGATGATCAATAAAAAAAATTAAGCTGCAAGGCCAGGGCGATGCTATTCTAAAATCCACCTAACTCTTTAACCCCAGTTAAGGGTGCCACGCAATTTAGCTATTCGTACGCAGCCACTTTACCAAAGCAACACGCATTCGTTTCACAACAGCCAATACAGATTATCACCGCTCCTGCTCCCGAATTCATCATATTTGGACCATTAGGTAACGCAGGGATAACGAGAGTAAGTCTCCATTCTGCCCACTGCTCTCTGCAAGCACTCGGAAAGTGTTCAGGAGCATAAATAGTCTGTGAAAATCAGCCCTGTGCAAGAAAAGCGTTAAGGATATGAACTACTTCAGCAGCCCTCAATCACCACAGGCCATAGAGAATCTCGTAACGCAACGATGATTTAGTTATGATGAGCTAACGCTCCGCAAGAGTTAATTTTGCCGTCTTAATAAAGCTGACAAGGACCCTGCTATCAAAATGAAAGGCTTTGCTTATGGCAAGAATCTGCGTGTTTGGGGGAAAACAGCATGACCAAGTTAAAATATTTTTTCCCTTCACCATCACCTCGGCTCCCGGCACCACCTGGTTCAGCCGCGACAGCGTCTGAACTGCGTACCTCGTCCCGTACATATTTCCGGAGAACTCTGCGTGCTCGATGAATTCACCAGCATCGATTTCTTTCTGCATTTCCTCTCTGGTCACAAAGTGGTAATCTAGATAGGGAAAACAGGAAAAATAGCCAGAAATTAACAACTTTGAAGGTAAAGTTCACAGTCAAAATGACACCCATGGGTGCTTAAGGGAGAAGCACCTTAAAATCTGCTTTGGACAAGGATGGCAGACTGCAGATATCTACTCCCTAATTACTGTATACAGCACCCCCTCTCTCACCAATTGCCCAGACAGCTGCTCAAAATGTTTTGGAGCTTTCCGTGTGGCCAGACATGCTGCTGTACCCCCTTTTTCACACCCTTTCCCCTTTCTGGTGCCGTGGAAAACTCCCCCCCGGCTCCCCACAGGTGCGGAACACGTTACAGCAGGACTGCCAAGGCCCTTGATTTGAAAGCATTGATGATTAAAGACTAGAATGGGGCAAGAGAGAGAGAGGGAGATGAAAGGGAACATCAAAACCAAATGAACTAAAGGGGAATGTTTCTCTATCTTTTGTTAAAATTCCTCCTTTTCACTTCAGAGCAAAAACCGCCATCAGAAATTAAGCACAAACCTCATTTGATTCTTTCTGGAATCTGCAGACAAACCAGAAAACAGAAAAGCAGCTGGCCAGCTGCACACAAGCTATTAATACGGATAAAGGCATCTCATTAAGCAGTTGCCTTTTCCAAAGCAGCGCGCATTTGAGATCCCTCACCGGAGCTACCTGGCACTTCGGAAAACCAAGCCACTCAATGACCAAGTATGGACCGGGGCGCTTAAACCGAGAGCCCCGCTTTGAAAACCTCGGCCAGCGAGTCAGAGACGGTGTCTAGAAAAGACAAAACTGGCAGCACTTGCTCTGCCTCTGCTAACATTTCACCACTTAATTAAATTTTGCATTTGTTCTGCCAAGTCCATCCCTCTCTGTTATCTTTTCTCCAACACACGGCACACGCTGCAGAGCAGCGGTGAACAGCTACGGTCTCGTTGCCACCGAGATAAAGGACAAAAGCGTGTGTAGGTATGCGTGTTTATATACACACATACATATACACACTCTCATACATACATATACACGCTCTCAAATACATCATTACTGAACGTCTGCCTAAGGAAACGCACCCTATCAACATAAACCTAGGACTAACTTATCTGCCAGTGGGGATTCACGCGTGCATTTCAAACTCAAAATTTTTCAGAGGAATTATTTGCCGAGTCTAATGAGATGGGCCCAGCTGCACCACACTCACCTTTGCCATTTACTTCTCCAGGTCTTGGCTGCCTTGTGGTATCTGTAAGCAAAAAAACCAGCCTTGTAAAGTTTGTAGATCACCCAAGGAAGCAATAGCATCAAAGAAATAAAAGCACACATGCAGCAGATTAACCCAATCACATACTAAGCCAATCCTCTCTTTAAAATGATCAAAGCTTCTGGAATCAACTAGCGTAACACACAACGACACGCAGGATCGGCCTTTAATCGAAGAATCCTAGATAATCTGAAAACAATCAATTAAGATTGTTAGGGGCTGAGCGGTCAGTGTGGGACTTACCAGGCTGGGCTTAGTTTTCAGCTCTGCCTCAGCCTTCCTGCGTAATCCCAGACGCGTTATTCGGACCTCTGCCTCCGAGTTCAGGGGAATTAGTGGTGCCCTACTTCGCAGAGTTCTCTTCATTTTAAAAGATCATGCAGCATCTACAGAGGTGCTTAAAATAGCCAGATTTAGCGAATAAGGGCAAACTCCTGCACGAGGCAGGTGAATAAATCGGACAGCCTTTGACCCCCAAAGTCATTCGAACTAGTATTATTTTAAGCACACGCTCTGCAAATCAAAAAAGAAGCCGATGGTCATCATGGAGGGCAACGCCGATTATTTTATTTAGGACCGGCAGGAGTTAACTTAATGCAATAAGGCTCTGATCACCTGTAAGCTTTTCTAAAGCACCAGTTGCCAAGGTCTAAGTGGCCTATGGAGATTTAGGACAAAAAAAAATATCTACCAAGAGGCAACCTTGGGGAAAACAGGAAGACTTAGTTTGGAGTCAGATGAGAGATTCAGTTGAATCAAGAGCATAGGATGAAACGCACAAAAGTAAAGATAATTTTAAGGGTTTTTCCATCTCCAGTAACATTAAATTTTTAAACATCCAGTGTTTGCTCTTTCAGGGCGGAACGAACGCAGATCTCACAGACCTCAAAGCGAGGATTTCGCTTGCAGTATCCAAAGCGTTAGGACAGTTAAAAAAAAAAATTATGGTAACATTATTTAAAAACACCTTGCAGAGCTCTAGGGAAAATGGGGCAAATGAGCTGTGGACACAGCCCAGACTCTGCAGGTAACCTTTAAGGTGTCACTTGAGAAAAAGGAAACAGAATTCCTATTGCAACAGGCAAGCTGCCTGAGAAAATTCCCCGCACTTACTCCGTTGTGGACGCGGGAGGACTTCAGCACTGCCTGCAGGCAGGCGTGGGCCGAGCTGGCTGGCCAGGGGTTATTTTCACGTTACCGGGAACCATCCCAGGTAGACACAAAGGACCCTTGGCCAGCACTTAGCGACCGATGCAGAAAAAGTCAACAAATCACCAGAGCAATGGCAGAGGAGGAACGTACGCAGGTGACGGGGAGAACTGTTTCACTGACTGACCCGGTAATGAGACGGTGTCCTGGTTTCGGCTGGGATAGAGTTAATTTTCTTCCTAGTAGCAGGCATAGCGCTATATTTTGGATTTAGGATGAGAAGAATGCTGATAACACGCTGATGGTTTAGTTGTTGCTCAGTACTGCTTATGCCAGTCAAGGACTTTTCAGCTTCCCATGCTCTGCCAGGGGCACAAGGAGCTGGGAGGGGGCACAGCCAGAATAGTTGATCCAAACTGGCCCAAGGGCTATTCCATACCATACGGCGTCATGGGCAGTATAGAAACTTGGGGGATTGGCCGGGGGGCAGCGATCGCTGCTCGGGGACGAGCCGGGTATCGGTCGGCGGGTGGTGAGCAATTGCATTGTGCATCACTTGCTTTGTGTATTATTATTGCTATTATTATTATATTGTTATTATTATCATTACTACTTTACTTTATTTCAATTATTAAACTGTTCTTGTCTCAACCCAGGAGTGTTTCTCACTCTCACTCCTCCAATTCTCTCCCCCATCCCCCCGGGGCAGGGGCAGTGAGCGAGCGGCTGCGTGGTGCTGAGCTGCTGCCTGGGGCTGAACCACGACAGACGGGCTTCACGAAATGCTTTAACAATTTTAAATCCGAGACTCTGGTGTGCAGCCCCTGGGCTGTTAAAATCCCCATCAGCTCCCGCAGGTGGATGGAAAGAACTGACTTTTGAAGCAGAGGCGTGGGGGGGATTTTGTTCCTTTCAGAGGCAAGAATCACTCAGAAAAATCTCACCACCTCTCGGAGCTGTGTTTAGAGGTGTGGGGAGTCAGACCAGGAAAGGGTGCTGTTCCAGACAAATCTTAGACTTGCCACTCAATACCAGTAGTAAAAGGCATTCCGACTTATTTAAACATCCCAAAGAGCCCACGGATGGACTAGGACACCGGCAAGCCATGGAAGCTCGTTATTTGGGGTGTGAATACGGCTAAAAAAAAAGGGCCGGGTGTTAATACGGCTACAGAAGCAGGGCTGGGCTAGCGGCCCTGAACTCCTCCGCTGCCCTTCCCCAGAGACATACGGATACTCACGGGAGACGCTGAAGCCGAAAATGTTCTCGTAATCTTTAAGCAATTTCTTTAACAAAGTGCTCTTCCCTGCACCCGACGGGCCACTCAGAACTACCGGCCTTGGTCCCTGCATGGCTAGAGAGACAGAAAAATATGCGTCTGGTTAGAAACACCCATGAAAAAACACAGCAATGGATTCCCAGGGGTGCTCAGCCCCACAAAACAGCATCTATCCTTTACCCTCGGATACAAGTTTCTGCAGGCAAATCTGAAATGACGAGAAATCACAAGCCTAGAGCTGATCGGAAGTAACAGAAAGTGAAGAAAATACCGGGGAAAAATCAAAGAACTATTAAATTAGCAAACTGGCTGCAGACAGCAGGAGCTGCAAAAGATCCGGGCCGGGAGCCCTGAGGACTCGGATTATCGTTTTGGAAAGCAGACAACAGAGGCCACCAGCAATGCAGCCGGGCTGCTTCACCTCGCTTCGCTGCTGGCCCCAATTCCTACCTGGGGAACAAATACCTCGGACAAATGACGGGCAGGTATCACCGCAGCGCGAACACTCGTTCTCGAGGGACTGAGGTTAAACTTGTAGGACACAGCCCAAAGGAGGAGGAAACTGGGCTCCAGCTGCCACTAAACCGGGATAATTCAAGCCAGCTCTGTTCTCTGTCACCAGGGTTGGGTCCTTCTGGGACCCAAATCCCAGGGAAAAGTTTCTCTAAAAAGGAGGAAAATGCTGTCTGTGCCTGGTGGCGCCTGAAAACGCCCTGGGACGTCCACACACACCAGGCAATGCCAGCTTAATATTTGTCCTTCCTGAAAGGGATACGGTCACAGCCACCGCCCTCTCACGGGGAGAGGCCTCGAGGAGCATTTGCAGGAGATGCTGGCAAGAAAAAAGGGGCAGAAATCAGCCAGCGTCACACTTACGCAGCTCCGAGCCGGGGATGGGATGCCCGTGGGATCGCCACACCTCTTACGTTGCCCATTTACATCCTAACAAGCACAAACCACGAGCCGGCGATGGCCACTTAAACATTTCCTATCAGTCCTGGGATAAATATCCACACGCAAAGCCTTTACCATAGGCAGACAACATACTGAAGCCGAGACGCAGAAGCCCAGCGCGTCCTCCACCACTAAACCCCAAAGCCTTGCAAGAGCAGTCTGAACACGGGTGTGATCTGGGACACGAGCATGCTTTGGGGTTTATTTCCATGCTTCCTGGAGCGCTAACTCCAGCTCAAGGTGTCTCATGGTGAGAGAAGGTACAGAGGGGGGAGGAAAAAAAAAAAAAAAAACGTAGCCTGGGGCCACACAGATCTTTCTGCAGTTGTTTCTTCAGCCAGGAAGAAAAAAAACCTGGGTGTTTTCATGCGCCTGCCTCTCTGGGGGGGAAGAAAGGTTAATTATCAACACGTGAATAAAGAAGAAAATCCCGTATGACGGCGCAGGGGGTACCGCTAAGGACCCTCATCCATCAACAGCGATTCAGCAGCTTCTAAACCAGAGGTGATGACGAGAGCAGGACAAATCAAAGAAACTTATTTTTCCTGTTTAAAAACAATTACTTTCTGCAAGCAGTAATACCCCCTGGAAATGCATTTTTTTTTTTTTTTTAACCTCATTGGCTGGGTGTGGCCTCAGGAGCAATCAGCCGACAGGCAGCATAATGCCTTTCCATTTTAAATGAGATCATAGCAAAGTCACCCCGACCTTACAAATCACTTTTTAAACAGCCTTAAGCCAAATGCCGCCTCTGACAAAGTCAGCGGCGGATCGGGCAGCCGGCGGGTCCGGCCGTGCTGCCTCCCTGACCCCAGCCCGCGTGAGCTGGGTACCTCCTCACCCCAAAATCCCTCCTGCATGGCCCCGCGACTGCGCAGACACCTATCAGGCAGCACTACAGCTAGAAAATGATAGGAATTTTCCCTCCGTTCCCTGAGGATGCTTTGTGCTATGTCTGACCAGAGTTTATCCGAGCCCGTACAAAAGGACAGTGTATTAACATGCAAAGTCTGAGCAGATGCCAGCAGCAGCTCACGTGGGCGTAAAAACACCCATGTTCAACCACCATCCAAAAGGAAACTGGGTTTTTTTGGGTTTTTTTTTTTTGCTGTTTGTGTCCCGTAGGTGCTGCAGCCCCAGAAATCCACCAGATCAAACGTTCTCCGGGGGCCCCGCAGGACCGGTCCCACAGTACGCCTGTGGCCACGGTGCCGGATTAGGCTCCATCGTCCCAAAACCACGACGAGGCCGAACAAACTCTAGGAAGTTCTTCTGGGGACCTGCCCTACCTTTCCCTTTAGCCCTTGAGGTTTGATAATTTCCAGATATCACAGGTTTTGCTGGAATGTTCAACGCCGAAAGAGGTAAGCACATGCTCCTGCACCTCCTCACCAGCGAAACGCTATTCAGTGCTTGCAGCAAGGAAGCAGAGGGGCTTCTCTTCTCCCCCTCTTCTGCCCCTGCCAGCTCCTCTCACCCGTATAAATAAAATGGGTGAGCCCTAACCACTGCTTGCAAAACAATTCGGAAGAAAAAGAGGAGCTACGCAAAGTTCGTTGCCCTCTGGTCATCCCAGCGCGCTTCGCAACACACCTGCTCCCAAACGACGCTCCTTCCTCGGCCGCCACCGAAAGCCCCCACGCGGGATATTTGCACGCCAGCACGGATTCCGTCTGGGTGTTTCACGGCTTCCCCTCCTCCGGCTGTGCCAACAAGAACTGCTCCGGGCGCACAAGACCCGGGTCCCTGCCTGTAGATGCCAGCCAGGACGCTCACATCCCAGCCAGAGGGAAAAGAGCTTTCCTCTCTCCCTCCTCAAAATTTCATCTGCCCTTTAGTCAGCACCGATAGAAAAAGGGGAATTTAAAGCTGCCCAAATCCCTTACAATCATTTCATTCAAACTGGGAAGGGGTGAGAGGAACGGGCAGAGCGCTGGCCGGGAGCAGGCTCCAACGCATCCTTACCTTTTTTGCTTTTGCTCCCTTTCAGCCAAGGTATAAAGCCCAGCCCCTCACAGCGGCGACAGGCTCGCAATACGAGCGAGCCGGCAGAAAGCTGGGCTATTTGTGAGCTGCCTAAAGCCTTAATTACCGAGCTGCAATTTTAAGATGGCCAATGAAAAGGGCTCGCTGGTCTTTAATCTCCTCTCGTGGTTTCTTCTCCGCTCCCTGCTCTCCCAGCTGGTAAAGCTGCGAAGGGGCTGACGGGCGCCGGCGCTTCGGCAAATGGCAAAACCGTCCCCGCCTCTGCACGTAACC